TTTTCCAATTTTTAGGGGTTCTTATGTGAGTTTGGAAACACAGCTGAGTCTCCTAGAGAAATATTTTCAGGTTCAGAAAATAAGAAATTTAATATTTAGGGTAAGAACATTTTATAATAGGAAAATAAGAACATATTTATTTATTATGTTGCCTCATTCTTTTACAAGAATCTTTGCTTGATGCAATTGGTCTATTCAGCATAATTTAGTAGTTAAGGAAATAATTAGATTAAATGCATACATACATTCATTGACAGCATGTACTGTATATCTAATAAAAAAAATTTAAGTACTGTACATTCCCTCAAGACATTAGAAGAAAGGTTACATTTAAGGAGTTTACTTACAAACCAGTAAATGTGAGTTTCACCAAACATTCTCTGATGCATAATCAGTTGCTGTCATTAGACCCTTCCACTGCCACCAATGTATGTCAGCAAGGGCTTGTACAAAATGGGTGCTTTAGCAGAGTTTGTTTACATATTTTCAGCTGACTGCTTCAGCTTTCTACTGGAAGTGATTCTGGTGACTGTAAATTCACCTGATTACTTTGACATCAGCGGTAATGTGCTGCCCCTTACCTTACCCCCGCCATGTATCCTGGGCTCTCCTGTCCCTGCTGGGTGCCCGGGTGTCATCAGGAAGGGAGCTCAAAGTATATCCTTTTTTTGATCTTTCCTGGCTACTATGAACTCAGAAGCAACAAGCTCGGATCACTTTCAGGTTCAGAGCTGTCATTGGTTATTGTTCCTTCTTCTGTGGCCAGCAAAGAAGCTAATGGAACGAGAGGTGACATTAGGGGTTTAATAGATAAATTGTCACCTGCACTATTCTTTTCGCATAGGGGGCATATCAGCCCCCTTATCAATCAAACAATGTAGAGGCTTTTTTACTGGAAATTTTGGCTTGATAAATAGTTGTACTACCATTGTGTGACACAAAATAATATTCAGGCCTAAAATGTTCATTTTAAAGTGTGTGCAAAAAAGGGCAAAAATTGATCTGGTGGCAAAATGGAAGATTCATCTGCATAGAATGTTTGCTGAATGTCAGATTCTCTACTTTATAAATATGCCCATAAGTGTTAGCTAATTATATAGTTAGGTTATCTGCTCATGTCAGGAAAGAAGAAGTAAATATTTGATAAGGTCTATATATTCTCTTTCTTTAGTTTTCTTATTTTTTTATTATCAAAAACATGATTTTTTGTAAATATAAAGGGGTCTATTCACTAAGCTGTCGTAGGCATCCGAGTGAACGACCAATGCTGTTAGGCCCTTCACTTCAGGTTTGTACGGCTGATTTCAGCCGTATATCGGCTTCGTGTGGCTTCGGGTCAGCTGAACATGCTCAGCATGTTCGGCCGACCCGAAGTGCAGAAGGAGTTCGACTTAGCTGATTCAACATCTGGATCGGCTAAGCCGAACCTCCAGCAGGCTACTCGCTGCTGTTTGGTCTATTCTTATAGATGCCGAACAGCAGTGAGTAAATAGCCGAAGCGCGCTGAGCGGCATTCGGCTCGGCTGTTCTGCTCGTTCCCTCTGGGGGACCGAGCAGAACAGAAAAAGAGTTAAAATAGGAGAAAAAAAATAGAAAACGATTGTGCGGAGCTAGCAATTACATATAGCTCAGCCCAACTGTTTTCTATAGGCCGGCAGTTCTGCTGCCGTCAAAAAAAAAGAAAGAAAAAAGACTTTCGCCATAGGAATGCATTGCTAGATTCCTACTGGCTATTTCTATTTGCAATAGCCAATAGCAAACTAGCTATTGCACCCGCCCTCTGCTGCTTTCAATCACTAGTGGGGACCTGATGGAGAACTGGAGCAGTGGGCAGGTGCAATAGCTAGTTTGCTATTGGCTATTGCAAATTGAAATAGCCAATAGGAA